TGTCCACCCCACAACCCTCTTCCACTCTCCAAAATCGCCAGGCCTAACCGTCTAGGCCTGATAGAGGTGGGCTTCAAGCCTCGGTCGAGGGTACACCATCAGGGGTGCAGCCCGTTGCAAGGTCAGTCCATATGCTTCGTCCATGTTCAGCTTCTCCGGCAACTGTCCATCAGGCAACGTCCAATCGAAGGCGTGAATTAGGGTTGCCGTCAGTAGTTGGACCTTTCGCAGCCCGAGGCTCATCCCGGCACAAATGCGCCGTCCAGCACCAAATGGTATAACTTCAAAGTCATTTCCCTTCACGTCCACTTGGGCCTTTTCCCCACCGGGTAAGAACCTCTCGGGCCGGAACTTTAATGTGGGTTCGGTCCACACATCTGGATCACGGGCTATGGCCCAAACGTTCACGAGAAGAGTTGAGCCCTCCGGAATGTGGTAGCCGTTGATTTCACAGCTTTGGGCTGCCATCGAGGGAGAGAGAGTGGGGTTGATGGGTGAAGCCTGAAGGTTTCTTTGATGACCGCCTGGAGAAGGTTAGTTGGGCCAGATCCGATTCAGTTACCAATCGGCCGGCCCAACAATGGTGTCGAGCTCCTGTTGAGCTCGGGCTAGAATGTTTGGATGACGGATGAGTTCTGCAATGGCCCATTCAACTGTGCTAGCTGACGTGTCAGTTCCTGCTGTAAATAAATCCTACGCAAAATGATATTAATTATTTAATCAATCAAGTTGATTAATTTGTTTACCAAAATTAAAAATAAAAACACTGAAAATCTGGAAATTTCTTTTTTTTTTTTTTGTATCAATTTCGTTTTGAAGTAAAAAGAGTTAACACCCAGAGAGAGAGAGAGAGAGAGAGAGGAGAAGTACCAAGAGCAAGGCCTTGATTTCGACGTCGGAGAGCTTGCCACCTTCGCCGTCGGCATTATCCTTGAGCGAAATCAGTGTTGTTAAGAGGTCGGAGTGATTGCCCTCACCGAGCTTGTGCTCGTCCATGATGGCGTTGAGGAAGGCATCGAACCTTGCATGGAGTTTTTTCATCTTGCGCGACGCCCTGCAGGTCCAGCCTCTCCAACGCCGGCACGAAATCCCCGATGTTAAACACCCCCGCGAGCACCATCAGTTCCACCACCATCTGCTTGAACTCGTCGGCCTTGGGATCCACTTCCTCGCTCCCGTCACTGAACACTCTCCTCCCAAGCATCACGCGCCCAAGAGCGTTTGTTGTGCACACACCAAGCAGCTGCCCCAGGTTCACCGCCTTTAAGTGCCCCGCACCCGCCAGCGCGCGCGTCAGCCTAGCTGTCTCCTCCTGCCAACAAAAGTGCCGGGTCACATTTCTTAACGTCGCTTGTTTTTATCTGTAAGTTAGACCCTAGCGAGCCAGTAGGTATACTTTGCGCAAGTACTAGATAACACTTCACGTGCCAACGCCATCCCTTTTTTTTTTTTTCCCCTCTCTTTCTTTATTTATTTTTGTTGGCCGTTTTTAGATATGATTTGAATTGAATTGAATTATTAATTAAATCAAGACAATTATAAATATGTGAGGAACGTGAGAGTTTAAGACAATTTTGGCTCATAAATTTTTTATTATAATAGATAAAGAAATGTACATGTACCAATTTGAGGTCACATTCTTATCTGGTGCATGATATATACATATATATGTAAAATTATAATACATACTAAAAATTTTATATATGTTTTAGATACTTAATAAGAATAATTCACTGTGAAAATTTAATATTAAAAACAATATAAAATACCTTACAAAATGAGGACAATATTAAGTACATCACAAGGTACTTTATGAAATGAGTACAGTTGACGAATTTGATGATTTCACGTATTCTTGTACTTATTTTTGCTTGATAATAATTTTGTTTTATATTCATAAAATTGTTTTGGAAGTAAAATGTATAAGCAATTGTAATAATATTTTTTATTTTATAACATATGTTATAAAATATATTGGTGAAAAAAGATGTATTTCAATATAATAATCAGACATATGTTTTTGTTTATTTGTTTTTTAACCTTGTATTGTGAAAAGCCAAACGTACATAATTTATTGAAAGCGTTACATATTATATAGGTATTAAAATGATAAAAATCAAAATTAAGCAAGAAATACGTGAAAAAATGAAATTTGATCTAATAACAAAATAGTAATAATGTATAAAATTAAAGTACATGTCTACGTATACATGTATAAAACATGGTTACTAATATAAAAGGAAAATCATTAAATAAATTTTTAAAAAAATTTTCTGATTCAATATCAAGGGTTTTAAGATACTGTTTGATTTTATTTATTTAAAATTACTTAAAGATGAAAGGTTGTTTAATTTTTTTATTTGAGTTAAATTAATTCTAAATCTTTTCATTTAAAAAAAAAGGATACTTCAAAATATTTTAAGCATTTATTTATTATAAATAAAAAATCACATATTTTGATAGATTATTTACAATAAGTAGTCAAATAAAAAAATTTAAATTAGAGATAGATTCCTTTAATAAGCAATAACTAAGAAAAAAACTAAATAGAAGTGTAAGTTATTTTTTTTTCTTTTATGTAAACTTATTTCAAGCCGTTTATATACTATTAATTTTTTTTATTATACTTGAATCAATAAAAATTATTTAAATAACAAATAAAATAAATTATAAGTAAAACTGATGCCTTATAAAATACATCTCCCTGTCCTTTCGCTGTCCAACACCAAACATAAAGGATAAGGAGAGAACGAGAGATTCAGAAATTTTGAATTTTACATTTAAGTTAAAAATTGGAATGACTTGATTAATGGTTACCGATTGATCAAGTAAACTTATTATATATACATTACCAATTAATGGTACTATATTTATATTTATTTATTTTTGGAATAAAAAGATAATTTATGCTTTACATAAGGCTCTAGAAAAAAAAAGGGGGAAAAAGTAAGGAAAAATTAGCAAGCAGGACAATTTGATGAAATTATTGATCTAAAAGTTAACACATAAAATAATTTTATTCAGAATCAGAAAAAAATTACCTAATTAAAGATAATTACTTCCCAAAATACTACTATCACTATGTATATATAGCAATTATTATAAGTATATATTTGTATATTTATAAATATAAATTATGTAATTATAATATAAATTTGTGTATTTATACATTTTTACACTTAAAAATAAATAAATATATACTTATAATTACATAAATTTATATTTATAAATATACATATATAAACTTATAATAGTTATGATAAATAATTATAATAAAATATTTTTAAATGTAAAAACGATTAACTTGTATAATTTTTTTTTTCTTTGACGGGAATGAAAAATTTTTATACTTTTTACATCAGGCTAATTAAAGTTAGCAAAGTACCCATCGGTAATTTACCCAAAAAGCAAAGCATACACGTTAAAGGGTTCGTCTAAATGCACTCGGTTGGGTGTATGTGCGCGCGCGCACGCGCGGGAGAGAGAGAGAGAGAGGAGACCTGACGGACGTGACGAAAATCGTCGAGGGCCTTGGTGGAGAAGAGGTGCACGGAGCAGATTTTCCGGAGCATGCGCCACCGCGGGCCATAGGGAGCAAACACAAGGTCCTGATAGTTGTAGGCCATATACTTGGCTCCGGAGTTTGGCGGACGGCTACAGAAGTTGGCATCGTGGGTCTTCAAAAACTGCGCTGCCACTGACGCCGACGCGGCCACCACCACGTGGACCATGCCCAGCCGGAGATGCATGAGCGGCCCGTAGGTCCGGGCCATGGCGGCGATGTTCTGATGGGGCATGGTTCCAGATGCGGTAAGTTTCCGATAACCGGCCATGGCCTCGGTCCGGGTGGCAGCGGCAGTGAGCGACGGTTAAGAAGGGTGCCAAGGTTAAGGAGGCAGTACAGCAAGAGCCCAATGGCCAAAGAGTAAAAAAATAAAAGCCAAGTCAGCCATGCGTTTCGTGTTTGCCGAGTCAGTGACAAAAACTCCCGTCGGCCCAAGTCATATATAGGGCTTACGCAGGAGAACAAGGGTGTAGATGTGATGTGCGGACGGGATAGCTTGAGTGTTCAAATCAAATTTTCTACAGTGATATATTGTGGTAGAAGTTAGTGATTCGTGTCTACCCTTTTAAACTAAAGAAATCTTTACGCGAATTTAAATATTCTTATTATGCAATATCGATTTTAACCTACTCACTCAATATAGTTAAATATGGTTTACTTTAAAATATATATCCGTGAGATATGGAGAGATTACGCTGGCTAATAAAATAAAATGAAACATCTGCGTATCAGCTGGAGGTCTACATAAGCCATCTAGTTGCTACGTGTTATCTAACATTTTTGTGGTCTATTTGATGCTACGTGTTATCTTAGCAGGACAGTACTCAACAAATTAATAAAACATAATTATGTATTAAACTCTTTTAATATTAATTTTTATTTTATATTTAATCAAATAATGAAAATTTATAAATATAATATTAAAATTTAAATTATTTTATAAACTATTAAAATAAATTTATTTCATTTTTTGTATTTTTTAAATAAAAATATAAAGTTTAATATTAAAACAACTAGACATATGACTATTTTCTATTAGTTTACTGGGTACTGTTCTATTGGGACAACACTTAATATCAAATAGACCTAATCTTGGTGCTAGGTAGTTGGTTTGGAGCAACACGCTGCCTAAGTGAAGTAGCACCCTAGCAAATTGACACATATATATTTTTATTTTTATGTATTTAATTAAATAAAAATTAATTATTTAGATAATTTAATAATATTTTAATTATATATATCAACATTAATTATTTTGAATTGTTAATTTTTTGTATTTATTATTAAATTTAAAAAATAAAAAATGAAACAAATTTATTTTAATTATTCATAAAATAATTTGATGGTTATTATTACATTTAAAACTTTATGTTTAGTTAAACATGAAATAAAAAGAAAAGAAGCGCCTGGCAGGGCACCTAGCATCAAACCAACCGTGCTAGGTGAAGTGTGCTGGAGATGGAATGGTAGTTGGCTGGTGATGGAATGGCAGTTGGCATGAGACTACTGGTGCCGTTGGAAGAGAGTTAGATGGCACAAGCCAGCTAACCAGCAGAGAGGTGAGACCGAGACAGGAATTATATATAATGGCTTGTTTGGTCTTCTTGACATTCTGGGAAAAGAAAAAATGACAAATCGTTGCCGGGTTGCAGTTCACAAAGGGAAAAAGAGGGCGTAATAAATAAATGGGAGTTCTAGACCGCTGCCCACAGCAGGTAAAGTAAGTAAAGCAATTGCTGTAGATACTAATAAAATTAAACTTTCAAGATTTTAAGAATTAATAAAATTTTATATTACAATAATAATTTAAATAATTATAATTTTTTTAAAAGTTCATAACAATTAATATTATTTATATCAATTAGTTAATTGCATTCTACTCACCTTCCTATAACTTCTAACTTTTTTTAATTAAAATCTTTTATTCCAACAATAATTATTTTTTAATTTTAATATTCATCTATCTCACAACACATACTTGTTTTTTCATAAATATTTGTTTTAATTCATACCTAACATTTTGTCAGTTTCATTAAATTATTTTTAATGTTTGTTTTCTAAAATAAATATTTTTTTATAAGTTTAAGTATTTTATTTTAATTTCATCACTTTCACTGGTTTCTGGTTGAATAACTCAAAATCCCTTGTTTGTTATTATTGCATCTGACATCTCTCTCTTCTCACAAAATTAAAAACACTTATTTAATGATTGAGAAATAAAATAATTTTGATATTAAAGTTGCGACCTCTGTAATCATGTTATATTATTTTAGTATTTAAGTATTCTATATTGTTTATATTTTTAATTTAAAAAATATAAGAAAAAATTGAATATAAAAATTTAATTAATAATTTTGTATCTCAAAAAATTAGAAAAAATAAATTTTAAGATAACAATTCATATTAATTTTATTTGAAAAATGACTCTAATTTTCAATTTGGTTTTAGACTACCAAAATTTTTAAGCCATCCTAGATCCACATTGCCACACTTCATTTCCTGATCATCTTTCAAGAATTTACCTGAATTCAATCTCATCTTGTAAAACTGATCAATAATTTTTTTGAAGGTACAAGTAATGGTCGAATATATTCATCTAAACAAAATGATTTAAGTTCAATCAGAATAATTATAGAAAAAAATTAAATTAAAATTTATTAAGAAAAAAATTAAGAATACTTATATAATTAGTTTCAAAAAATTATATCTAGATTTTAATAAAAATCTAATTACAAACTTAATTTTTACTTAGACCATCTAACCATTGGGGCTTAGATATTGCAATCCTTGTACTCATATTGGCTAGACTTTGTTAATTCTCTTTCCAAGTGTAGTTGGAATGATTGAAGGGCTCGTTGACTTCTTGTCAAAAAATTCTAGTTAAGTTTTAAACTTTTGTAAGTGTTTTGTTTCCTCTTTTAATAGAAAATAGTCTCCTTTTTATAGAGGAGACTTTGAAGATAAATAACTCTAAAAATAAAGACTATTTAAAGAATAATGTTACTCTTTTGAGATAATTTTAAAAATATAAATTTTATATTTTAAAATATCTAAATTTAACATAAAAATAAAATAAAATATTTAATAAAATTCAAATCTCTCCGGAAAAAAGATCCTCCAGGATCGAAAACATGTTGTAATCCCCTTTTCTTCTCTTCTGTTGGTCGTCTAACATATTGAGTTAAGCCATGAGACCATAATTTAAGTCTTCTGGCAAAACAAGTTACTATAAATGCTTCTGTGAAACAGGAAACAACAATGAAGCATGGGAGTGGTGGGATATTAAAAATTATAGCGCACGGTTTTCGGAAGAACTGGATGTGCAACCTGACTCAGATGGGACACTAGTTGGTGACAAGTGATTAACCAGGATCTGGTCGCAAAAGGTTCGTGTTGTCTTTAGAGTCGTTTGCCCAATGGCAAGTCTAAAAAGTCTCAATCAATTGAGCAAATTATTATTCACAAAATTTAATAGATAAAAATTATTTTTTTCACAAAATTAATTGACAATAAATTTACACCCAGACACTAACACATCTAGGATTTGATTACAGAATATTAGAATTTTATCCTTATAGATGGATTGAAAGACTTATATGAGTAAATTAAAAGTTTAAAGATATAATTAAATAAATCAGAATTAACGAATCTAATTAAGAATTTAAAATGGCAGAAAAACAATAATCAACGACAGTTTTACAAATATTTATTAAAATGTGAAATTACAAAAATAACTTACACAAAAATAATAAAATAACTTACACGTGTTAATTAGCAAATGACAAAAATGAGATTATGTAAATTTTAGTAAACCTCAGCAGCTCCATAGTTTCATCCCTAAATAATGTTTATGACAAGAAATGACAAGAGAAATGCAGAGAGACATGTCCTAAACTTCTCTGGTAGGCAAAGAGTCACTAAAATAACTACAAATTTCAATTAAAGTTAGTTCTTTTATAGGATAGAGAAAACGTAATTTTAAATTGACAAATTATTAAGTCTTGGAATGTTACCAGTAAAATTGTAGGATGAGAGCTGTATGTCTATTATTCTTTTAGAATGCGCTAATATTTTAGTTCATTTATTGAGAAAAACTATATGTAAAAAGTAAATATGACATTTATAGTGTTTAATATAAAATTAAGTATATTAATTATTAAGTAATAATTTGCATTCTTAATATAATTTTTTTTTCTGGGGGCCAAAAAATATATTTTATTTTACTAATTATAATGTAGTAATAAGATATTTTAAAATTTAAGGGGGGCTACAACCCGCTTTCCCTCAACATAGATTTGTCTTTGCCTGTAAACCTTTTTTGATAAATAATGCTAATTACTGTAATACTCCTAATTTTAGGATTAATTAAAGAAAAATTAAGAATTTAAGGGCTTAACTAAAAGAAGTATAAGTTCCGGGACTTAATTAAAAGAATAATTGGCATAATTGAACAAATCAAAACTTTTGGGGCGTTTGAATAGAAATACTCAAAAATGTTAGGGACTAGATCACACATAATCAATAGTTTGGGGGCCAAATTGTAAATATAAGAAAATTGGATTTTGGGTTTATTTTTAAACTTTCGGATCTCGTGACTAGGATTATCAAATTCGATCAAATTAGAAACTATTATCTCAAAATTTTTGCTATAAAATATGCGATTAGGGGCGAAGATGAGAAGCTTTCAATCAATTTTTAAAAATTAGTCTTTTGACTTTGTCAATTTTGCTATTTTTGGTCTGTCTATCTTTTGCCATTGCCGAAGTTTTCAAGCTTAAATTCTACATGTTAAGTCATTTAAAAGCCAATTAAAACCACGCGCTACCATCGCCCGTCCATTCTAACCACCATCCCAAGGATTGATTGTAGAATCAGGAAGAAATCTTAAGGTAATTGTCTTGATTAAACTTTCTAGGTGAAATAAGTTTTTTTGGACAATTTAGGTAGAGAAGAATAGACTGAGAAAGGGTCAAGGTCTGCAGGTGAATTAGCTCAAAGAGCTAAGTCTAGGCTAAGGGTTTTGCTGTCACACTTCGACCTCTCTAACCTTAAGAGGCATGACAGTGAGGCAATAGCCAATACACTGTCAGGTAAAATCTAGTAACATGCTGGCTATTGTAACTCCACTTTAGTTGGCTTTAGAGGGCCCTATGTCCAAGTACCTGTTTAAATCAACAACTTCACAAATAAACATAACTTGCAATCACTCATTTAACACAAGACTTATGCCTCATTCATCCTATATCAACATTTCCAATAATCATCTAACATAATGCCATGCTTAAAAATCATCACATACACTTAACCAGCTATAATTCATCCATAAGATCTCAAACTTCACAAATTGTTTACAATTATCCAAATTTTAAAATAGTCTCCCAACATATATAACCCGTATCTATAAAACATGATCAAAATAGACTTTTGTAGCTTGGCCTAACCTAGTGCTATAAAGTGAGCAAAACACAAGCAATTTGAATACTGAGATTCTAACT